CAGAGTCAGCAGCTGCCACATAGAATCCTGCGTTAATCCCGGCCACCCCAGGGCCTGTCCCCTCGGGCTGGGGGCCATAGCCTGGAGCACCTCGGTTCGTGTCCCTCCCTGGCCCCAGTTCTCCCAGTTGCCTTGGGCAGACATAGGTGGAAGCTGCTGCGGTGTCAGAGGGAGCTGCTGCAGCACCGGACAAGGGGAACAGCCCGGGCTGCTCCTGAGCAACCTCTGGCCAATTCGTGGGGTGTGTCACCTGGAAGGGGATGAGGCTTTACTTTGGGAGCCACAATTTAGGCTAATCATCCATCCCACCCAGCCTGTGACTGGAGCTACATTTGTGGGTTCACACCAGGCAGGAGAGCCCAGTGACAGCAGGGACAACATGCAAGGGAACACACAGGCAGAGAATCCCCAGAGACAGAGCATGGCACAGCTGTCCAGCCTCTCCAGGCCTCCCACCATGGCACAAACGATCCAACGGAAGCCCTGACACCCCGGGTGTGGAAATCCTTGCCAAAGCACTGGGTTGCATCAGCCGGGTGCTCCCCTGACCTGCCCACAGAGCGGCTGTTGGGGGCCAGCCCAGGGGGCCTTTGTTCCTGCTATCGGCACATCTGGGCTCGCTCTGACTGACATGCTGAGGGTGTCAGTTCCCTTCTCCCTCCTGCAACTCCTGCGCTGCCCTCCAAGGCCCCACACCGCGGGGAGGGCCAGGGGGACGCGGTTGGGCACCACTGGCCACAGGGAGTGGCACGAGCAGCACGTGTCTGCTGGAGTGGGCACTGGCCACACACCAGCTCCTGCCCAGCCCAGGCTGCTGCCTTCAGCCCTTGCCTGTTCCCAGTCCCATTATCTCCTTTAGCAGCTTTCCTGGGCCCAGGGAAGGGCCTGTGCTGTGAGCTCCAAATACAAGACAGAGCCTACAAAATTGTTACCCTTTTGAGTCTTTGACCAGGAGCAAGGCCAAGCCCCCTCCAGCAGCTTCTCTCACACCGTGGATTCTGTAAAGAGCTTTTCACAGCTACACTGTTCTTATCCTTAACACAAACATGCCACGCTCTGTAAACATCCGCGGGCTCTTATCGGACTGCCTCCCCTGGACTGTGTTCTCTCAAACACCTCCCTCATTCCTGTGACTGCACAGGAATTTCCCTTAGTTCCTGCAGTTAGAGCAGGCACAGTGCCAGCAGGCCACAGAGCTTGCCTGCTGCTCCACTGGCAAGAGACCCACTCAGAGGCCCCTGTTTTCACAGCCCGCCACACTCCCATCCCTCAATCCCTCACACTGTCAGCAATGCAGAACAGGGTAAACAGCAAGGGACAGATCCTGCACACACAATGCCACAGGGCCCCTCCTCCTCTGGCAAGGGCTGTCCCAGATCCTGTTTCACATTCCAGCAAGCCCAGGGGTCGTGGTCTTCTCCAACTCCAGGTGTTCGCAGAAATCCCATTTGGCCACTTCCTGCCAAAGACCCAGCATGGACAGCACACAGTCAGTTCAAAGACTTTATTTAACTGTCATAAAAGGAGAAGCAGACGATGATTCCAAACCTGTTAACCCGGGTCTAGGACTTACAGACAATACGCACCAAATCAAAATTAACAAAAACCTCTCTAGGGGCAGGGTGAGGGGAGTTAGAGGCAAAGACGTAGCTACGAGAAAGCCACATGTACTTGGTCCCAGTTCTAGTATGACCTCAACGTGGTAGATCCAAATCAGAAGGCTGCGGAGCTGGCGTGTGCCTGCCCAGCTCCCCGGGACTCGCGGGGCCCCGGGGGCTCCTTCGCCCCGAGCGCTGTGGCCGCGCAGCTGAGGGTGGAGGCCGGCAGGTCTGCAGCAGGCACGGGGGGCCGAGTGTCAAGGCAATAACTACTGACAGGCCAGGCACAGATTTTAAAGGCAGAACAGATACATAAGGCATTAACCGCTTTGGAACACTTGTCCATCGCAAGCTCTTTGCTGATCGCATCAGGAGCAGCTGCAGAGACAGACTCGTCCACCCTCAGCCCAAAACAGCCAGGAGGGCAGGTGCTGTCCTGGAATTTCAGTGCTTTGCAGCTACCTGGGCTGCAATGAGAAGTGTGAGGTGATGGCAACACTGGTGATCCCCAACCCCCCTGCCCTGCAGCCCCCTCCATGCCACGGGGGCACCCAGAGAGCTCAGGACTCAGCGCAGGCTGGGCCGGGGCCTGGCCAGGCCATTGCTCAGGGTGCTGTGAGGGGTGGCCAGGTGTCACCCAGCATGTCACACCCCCTCCCCTCTGGAGATGTCCCATCTCGGGTGAGGAACGGACCAGCAGCAAAGCGGGAAGTTATGAATCTTTCCTAATAACCCATGAGGGGCATGACCAAGCTGAGCCCATGCCAACGGATGGGGAGGGCGGGTGGCATTTAAAAAGTGTAACTGGGGCGGGGCCCCCTCCCTAGAGGATACGTGTTACACATTTAAGGCATCATGGTTACAGGGAACATCCACAAATGAAGCTGCCAGTGCTCCCAGGACTCTGACAGAGCAGAAGGGGCAGGCAGACATGACTTAAGCCAATAAACCTATTCGACAGCTGCCTGGCACCAAAATTCTTCAGCTACTTGGAGGCAGTAGCTACCCTGAGCTGTGCACAGGAAAGCCAAGCACTGGATCCTAACAGAAGCCTCTCCCCTTCGGCACCTTCTGGACAAAGGAAGGCGGGAAGAAGAAAGGGCCTGGCGAGGGAGCGGGCGCTCCTCTTGGTGCTGGG